AAAACAAAAGCGGCAGGCTTTTAGTACTATTGCCACGGAGCCTCCAATCTGGGACCATGGACATAAGCTAAACTACCAGGGGTCCCAAAAAGAAACACAAAAGGCAAACCAAAGAAAAAGAGTCTGCATGCAGCTCTTGCAAACAAAACGACTACATTGACGATGTGGGAAGTTTTATAATATGGAAGAAGCTAAAGCAAAAGGAAAAAGGGGGGTTGGAGGGAATATCGACTCTACTCGTCACACACTGAGGCGAACTTCTCAGACATATCTTGAAGGATTTTCTCATACTGTAGGTTCGTGCAGAAAATGTTAGCATACGAAATAAATTACCCTTACAGATGGGGGGATGAAGGGGGATGTGATGTTGGGTTGCGGCATGTGGGGGAATCATCACCTTTTTAGTAACAGCCTCTTCATCATCTGGAATCTCAAATTTCATTCCCCGTAGCATATTTTGGATCTCAGCCGTGGCCTCTCTAACCTTTGCCCAGCTCTGTCCCTGCGCAATGGCCTTCTGGCTCTCATCATGGTACCCCATGAATGCCTTCATCATGTACTCCGTCTTCCACAAGGGGCAGAACTGATCATAGTCGCTGTACCCGTTTTGCTGCAAGAAGTCATCCTTAAGTAACGCGGCGACGTCCAGGGTAATCTTGTCCGGATCACCAAGCGCCGATTTCCCAACGAGTTGGACGACCTGGTCCAGATCTTCGGAGTTGGTGAGCAGCTCTCTGATCCTGTTTCTGAGCCGGGGGAACTCCGGATGCTCCTTTGCGTAGTATTTATCGAGGACGTTGGTGTATTTACTGTACGAGACCGAAGTGTTGATGGACGGGAAGTGTTTGCGCTGCGCGAGCTTCTTGTCCAGACCCCAGAAAACTTGCACGATACCAAGCGTGCTGGTCGTGACGGGGTCGGTGAAATCGCCACCGGGAGGACTCACTGCGCCAACGATGCTGACGCTACCTATTCGCTTGGGGCTTCCTAGAGCTATGCTCTTGCCGGCACGTTCATAGAAGGAGGCGAGTTTGGCACCGAGGTAAGCGGGAAAACCCTGGTCAGCAGGCATTTCTCCCAGACGTCCTGAGATCTCACGGAGGGCCTCGGCCCAGCGAGAAGAAGAGTCTGCCATCATAGCGACATTTTTACCCTGATCACGGAAATATTCTGCAACAGTGATGCCGGTGTAGATGGAAGCTTCACGGGCAGCGACGGGCATGTTGGACGTGTTGGCAATGAGACAGGTACGTTTCATGATGGGCTCCTTACGGCCGTCGATGGTGATTGAGAGCTAGGTTGCAAGTTAGTTTTAAGAATTCTCTACGTGAAAAGAAGGGTAACAAATGTTCCCCTACCTCTGGGAAATCCATCAAGACTTCGGCCATCTCATTTCCACGCTCGCCGCATCCAACATACACAATGATATCGCTGTTGGAGAATTTGGAGACACTTTGACTGATGACTGTCTTCCCGCATCCAAATGCACCGGGGATACACACTGTTCCACCTTGGACACTCGGGAAGAGAGCATCAAGGACACGCTGGCCGACAATAAAAGGCGAATCGGATGCCAGCTTCTCGTTGACGGGGCGAGGGACACGAACTGGCCACTGGTGCACCATACTATATTCATATCTTTTGCCATCGAACTCAACTTCCAAGAGCTTCTCGTCGACGGTGTAGCTACCGGGCCCCGCAATGCGTGTAATAGTGCCCCGTGCGCGGGGTGGTAGGAGGATCTTATGGTCATCCAACAGGCTGTTCTCCCACACACTGCCCCAGATGTCACCGCCGGTAATGTGGTCTCCGACTTTGAGATTGGCTGGCTTGAAGTCCCATTTCTTTTCTCGGTCGAGGGCTGGGATGGAGATACCGCGCGGAATATAGATGCTGCCGGAGGCGTCGGAGATGGCTTTGAGAGGTCGCTGGATACCGTCGTAGATCGTCTCCATCAATCCCGGGCCGAGTTCTACAGATAATGGTTTTCCGGTTCTGTACACGGGATCACCAACAGTTACTCCGGCTAGATAGGGAAGGACAAACAGGTTAGTCTTGGTTTTGGAGCGGCCCGGAGGGTTCCGTTCAAATCACCTGTTTCCTCGTAGACCTGAATTGTAGCTTTGTCCGCATCGATTCGAATAACTTCTCCAACTAGTTTGTCGTAGCCCACTTGACACTAGAAAAACTGGGATATCAGAAAACAAGGGATCTCCAGACGTAGCTTCTGGGGGGACTATCGGCTTATTTGGACACCCACCAGTTCATACATCGCGCAGCCTATCATGTTCTCCGCAACGACGACGGGTCCAGAGACCGAGTAAATTGAACCACGGTGTTCCTCGCCGGGCTCCGCGTGATTTCTCTTCGAGTTTGCTGGAGACATGTCGGGAGATGAATTGTGCGAATCAGGCAGGGAGAAGCGGGGGAGGGGGAGGGGGAGGGGGAGAGGAGCTGGAATTCCGTTGCTGCTGCTGTGGCGTTGTTGATGATTGTGCTGATTATGTTGGTGGTAATGCTCGATGATAAGGTGGTTGTTGGAGTTGAGAGATTGCCTCAGGTTGGGCTGTGGCGTAAGCGGCGGATCGCTTGACAACCCGGTTCTGGGACTGGTAACGGTGGGAGCAGAGGGACGGCTGGGCGGTTCGCCTTTGGAAACGATGAGGTCTATGAGAGATGGCCGCGATTTTAAGGATGGTCGACCAAGGCCCAGCATATGATCTTGGGAATCGGAGCCCGGAAGGTAGCTTGAAGCGTCGTTGAGTAGGTGATGCGGTGCAGGTCTCTTCCCACTTGGTGGTTTGGCGGGTTGGCGATGATGCTTGTGGTTGGCTGTTGTCAGCGCCCGCCCAGTTCCCCAGCGCAATATTCTGGCTGGGCGGTAACTTAAACTATGGGCAATCATGGACCAGCATTTTAACTAAATCCCTCGCTAACCCAATCAACAGACAAATACTCTATCTGATTCTAATTCTATGGATCTGCAACTCTTGATTGATTGCATCTGCTACGTGAGTAAATATCTAATTTGACTGATGCATCAATAAATACAAAGGCTTTCTTTAACCATCGATTTATCACTTGTGTTCCTGTTGGGAGCAGAACGGAATCCATCCGCCGACATCATCATCATCATCATCATCATCATCATCATCATCATCATTGGGTGTGAAGCTTCACCAGGCCAAAAGTAGTCCAGTGGGTCTGTTCACTTCGCCTATAGTTGCGTACTTCGGGTGGTAGCTGAAAGGGCAGGACAGAGAGCAACTCTTGCAGCATGATCCCTGTAGTCCCAGATCAGTATATAAAATGTCTGGAATATTTGTATGTAAGCAGTTGTAGCAAGGCTCACTCTAAGAAGAGCTAAGAAGGCAAAGGGTTTTTATATTTTTATTGAAAGTAATTAATAGGGCTGAGAGTGTTGCTGCGTCCAGCGGTCCAAGGACGTGCTGAAGAAGCGATAATCAAGAATACAGAGAACGATGTCAATCAACGGCAAAACAATTAGCTGGCTGACGGACGAGAGATGGGGAGGCATGAAAATGAAGAAGAATTCTTAAAAGAACAACATATTGCCAAAGAGTTATATCTCAGAGCTGAGAGGTTGGCTCTTTCGAGTACCCTGTAGAATTCCCGACGATCATTAAGCTTCAACCTGTTTCCTCGCAAGGGTTGATCTCCACATACCCCCGGTCCAACGGCAGATTTACCCGGCTGGTCAGGGCCCCGTGGATTTCACCAGGGAGCTGATTAAACTCGCGGTTTCTGGAAGAAATGCGCCATGTGTAGAACTTAATCAGTCTCCTTCATTGACAGAATTTCCTGCAAGGAATGTTGTTGCATGTCTGGAAGTTTTGTGGGCCCCCCCCTTGGTCGAAGATGAGTGATGAACTACGAACTGTACTGTACATACATCCATACACCCATACAGTAGTTAGCTGCACTCGATGCATGTGTGCCGTGTGAAAGGATAGAGACAGGAGTGTAGTTACGAGAGCATGCTCCGGCAAGACTCCAAACAACAACAACAACAACAACAAAAAAAAAAAAAAAAAAAAAAAAAAAAAAAAAAAAAAAAACCTTCAAGCCTTCTCTCAAAATCCAGGGCTGCTGCCAGCGCCGCGTGAACAAGTCTCTCTGGCCGCCAAGGGACTGACAACCTGTGACAAAGATGGGTGAGGGAGGTTCACAGGGGCTTTTTGGCTGCCCGGGGGCGGGGGGAGGGGAAGGGCTGTCTGTGTTGTGATCACCGATCAGCGAAACGGGTGAGCCACGATGGGCAACGTTAGCTGATATGTATCGATCTATCTTCTTAGGTTCGGGTAGGTAGGTTGGTTTTGGCTGGTTGAGTAGCTCGTTCATTGGCTACGCATGATATTTCTGGGTTGAAGAAGGGGGCAAAGTGGTAGTTTAGGTGATTGATCAACTCGAAGAGATGATATTCGTCAACGGGTTATACTAGTTATTGTGCACTGTAGTTATATAACATCATCCTGGCCATGTGAAGGCTCATCATGTCAGCTGTTTCAAATTTCTTTGCACTCGAAACAAATTTAACACCTCAATCCACGCCTAAATATTCCCCAGGTAAGCTGCTTGCACGCACAAACACCAGCGTTTCTACTTTGAAGTGTTTCCTCGAGTTGAGCGTATTTTGTCATCCTGGAACCCGTTCAGTCAAACAGCAGGCAAATAACTCTTGTGACTCAAAAGAGAGATATTGTTGAAGAATGAAACGGCTATAATCAAGGGTTTTCTTTCACTTCGACTTATCACCAACAACAATCACTTCGAGACCAATGAACGGTCAGTCTGGGGGCCAATCTCTACTTTTATCTAGGTAATCTTGTTGATAGGGTTCTGAGAAACATGCCGGCCAGGGATTTGCTGATTAGTGAGTGCTTAAATGGCCGCATCCAGATTGCAGCACGCCGCAGAGGGTGAAGCGATCTTGGAATATTATTGACAGAGAAATGGAAACAAACCCCTCTATAAGGGCAATGCCAATTTCCACATTCTCATTTCGATCTCTAGCATCATATTTTTTGATTCCGAAGACGGAGGAGAAGAAACCGAAGAAAGCTGATGATGGTGACCGCGATCACAACACCCTAAAACTCCTGCTTCGGGTAATATTACGTCACTGGCCATTGGATCTAGCATGGGCTGGCTGTTGTTGTGTCATGTTGAAAGTTTGTTGTAATGCGTACGGTCACCACGGTCAGACAGACCGTGATTATTATTATTACTTCTGGCTGGGAAGGCAGCTTAGTTAACGGTCTTGTGATCTGGGCCAGCCAAGTCACTCCCGGCTGCAGACTGTATGCCGGAGTACATGCATGGTTGGTCAACCAATACACACGTGTTTTGTGTTAGAGCCTATTTATTCATCTTCTTAACGACATCTCCCCCGTCTGCACCCATTTTCAACGGTTCTTCTCCTCCCCTGACCCTGTGTGCTTGGTCGTCGTGTTCCGCCATCCCCCGACTGCTGTTGTCCCCTCGAGCTAGGAAATTGGGGGAGATGTGTGCAGCCCTCCCTCTGTTTGGCATACCCGCCAGTTAGCATCATCCCAGGCTGCGTCCTGGCTTGTACCAAGGTTGGCCACCTTTTGTTTCTGCTCCTTCGGCATAAGAGCCACGGCGACGACGACAGCACACCACCAACTCTCAAACGCTTTTCTCTCTGGCTTTGTTTCAACACACCCACCCCCCCCCCCCCCCCCCCGGGTCAGCATCCTTGATATCGGCCTTCTCAATCGAGTGGGTTTCTTGAAATAGTTACTGCTCTCCTGTCCCAAGACCAGCTCAAAACGTATATTTAGTTGACTACCTGATTCCACCTTACTTATTACCTCATCCTGTTTCCTCCAATCACTTTTATCGTCCTTCCCAACAGTGCAAGCACCACCACAACAAATCTCCCTCGGTGCTTTTGGAAGACCCGGACCAACCTGACATTGACCTGAACCGGACACACCCAAAAATAAAATCTGCCGCCTTATTGAACACGATAAATCCGTTCTCATCACAGCTCCATCGGAGGAGAAGAGCTCGTGGCGTGTGTGGCCGGCTCCAGAGCTTTTGGATCTGGCTGCGGAACGCTCTCTTGTTTCCTTTCACTGAATAGGCCTCTTCAGCTGGTTCTGTATAGAGCCAGGCTGGAGGGCTAAGCAGCAACTTCGATCTGGCAGACGAATCTCCTCCACATACTCCCGCCCCAGCCGCTCCTGGCCCCTCCAACCCTTCAATAGTCCTCCAGTCTGCACCTACCCCTCTCATACCTATTTCCTCGACAGCATCTGACGTCCAGATCAGCCACGACGAGGATTCCCCCCAATCTCTCTCAAACAACGTGCCATCTTCGAGGTTTCAAAGCTTAGGTACTCACACCGGTCATCGTGAATCTGGCGAGCTTGGTTCTCACCAACCTAACCACCGCCGCCGTCGTCGGGAACGAACTCCTGATCAGTCCGAAAGGGCTGGGTCGAGGTCCGGAAATCTTAGTCCAGGCCAACGCAGACGCAGACGGTCTGTTGAAGAACACGCAAGGGATATCAACAGGGACGATTTTCCTCCTTCGCCCAAGCGCAGGCGCCTGGCGGATACCAACATGCGGTCTGACGGCGGAGCTTCGACTTCAAACGCGAACGGCTTCTCTCCCATATCAAACGGCTCAACCACCTCTCCCTTACGGAAATCTGCTGTTTCCAGCTCAACTAACGACAGATCCCCCCACTCAAGCTCAAATGGTCAATCCCACGCAAACGGCTCGGGAAAATCACCTGCTTCTCTCTCACCTACATATTTTGGTCATGATCGGCAAGAAGTGACTAGAATTTTAATTCAAAGTTTGCACGATCTGGGATACGATGAGGCAGCGTCTGCCTTAAGCCGGGAGTCAGGGTTTCAGCTAGAAACTCCCGCCGTAGCTGCTTTTAGGTCAGCTGTACTAGATGGGCGATGGACTGATGCGGAGGGCATATTATTGGCTTCATATTATTCTGATGGTGGAGGCGGAGGAACTTCTAATGTCCGTGGAACAGAGTCTGATATTTTGCCTGAACACGACTTTCTTATCTTAGCGGACGGCGCGGACAAAAACGAGATGCTCTTCCGCTTAAGACAACAGAAATTCCTCGAGTTATTAGTGCAGCGGGATCTTGGAACGGCTTTGATGGTGCTTCGACAGGAACTAACGCCGCTAAACCATGATATCGGACAACTGCATGCACTCTCCAGGTATGCTATTTTTGGATCACAGAAGTTGACTTGGGATCCCTAACTTGAAGGGTTTGAGCTAACATCTTACCAGACTTTTGATGTGTCCTGCAGATAGCTTACGTGCGCAAGCGGGCTGGAATGGCTCAGTATTGCAGTCACGACAGAAACTGCTGTCAGACCTATCGAGTGAGTTTTCTCCTGCAATAGTCCCGTATCCTGAAGGATTAACACTTAAAATGTATTCTTTATCTAGAATCTATATCCCCCGCTGTCATGATCCCCGACCACCGGTTAGCAGTTTTGCTTGACCATGTGAAGGAAAATCAGATCAACCAGTGCTTATATCATAATACTGCAATACCTCCCTCACTCTATTCAGACCACCAGTGCGACCGATCCCAGTTCCCCTTACGAACATCCCTCGAACTTACTGAACTCACGGATGAAGTCTGGTACCTCGAATTCTCCCATGACGGCACCAAGCTAGCAACAGCGGGTCGCGAGAACCTCGTCATCATATATGACGTTGCTACCTTTGCTGTCATCCATAGGCTTACCGATCACGGCGGATCCGTTGCATATGCAACATGGAGTCCTGATGATACCAAACTTATCAGCTGTTCCCACGATTATAAGGCCAGGCTATGGGATGTTGAAGTATGCAATTTTCCTTCCCTTTCAACTGTTGTTTTAATAACTAACAGCATCCACTGCAGACTGGCCGTTGCATCCTAACCATCGATCACCACCATGAGCCAGTGACCTCTGCCGCATGGGCGCCAGACAGTGAGTCATTCGTGACCGGTTCTCTCGACAGCCAATCCCAGCTCTGCCTCTGGAGCGTTGTAGGCGAGTCTCTTTACAAGTGGTCAGGCAATTACCGAGTACGAGACTGTTCAATTTCTCCCGATGGCCGTCGACTGGTTGCCATATCGACGGAGAAAAGCGTCTACGTATATAATTTCGAGACCCGAGTCGAGGAATATAGCATGACCCTCAAACTGGATCTCACGTGCGTCAATATCAGCCGAGATTCGAGATATATGTTACTTAGCACGTCTGAATGCGAAGTGCAATTGTTGGGTATTGAGACGGGGGAAGTTGTGCGACAGTATCTTGGGCAGAAGCAGGGCAATTTTATCATCAGGAGTACGTTTGGTGGCGCTGCTGAGAACTTCGTCGTCAGCGGCAGCGAAGGTAAGCTTCTAAAACTGTTATCATAAAGATAAGCAGCCTTCCTGCGACGTTCATTAACCGATATTATCGAATCGTATAGATTCAAAAATCCACATCTGGCACAAGGAGAACTGCACGCTCGTCGCAACACTCCAGGGCCACGGACACGGTTGCGTCAATGCGGTATCATGGAACCCGAAGGATCCTGGAATGTTTGCATCGGCGGGGGACGATCATAAAGTTCGAATGTAAGTGCTTTGCATAGTTACAAACGGAGGAAACAGAGAGAATAACTTCTAACATGCACCCCTACCAACCAGATGGACTAGGGATCCGCCGACCTGCACCCCTGTCTCAGGGAAAGTACGGATGCCATCGAATGGCGCGGCACGGACAAGCGCTCTAAGAACTACCTTCAACCGATCCTCAAATTTCTGAAGTCATCACGCTGTGACGTGTTCTGGTTGCATCCCCCTGAATTCCTTTGCCAATCTAGTTGTCCATTTCGCCAATGGCGGTTGCCCTGCCGCCCACTCGCCCAGAGCCACCCACGCCTGCATACATACATACATACATACATACATACATACATACATACATAAATCTCGTTCCCTTATGTAACTACCTTAGCTATTAAACTCAGATATAAGCATTCCTGCTCATCAAGCAATATTTTTCCCCTTTTATTTTGTAAGGATTGCATGTTTTTTCTCTCTCTTTCCCTTTTTTTCCCCCCCCGTCTCAAATCAAACAATCCCTACAGGAAGTAGATAGACCAGAAATTTTAATAGAAAACCCAGTATTTTCACAGAATGGAGAAATATCTTAAAAGTGTAAAGGGGCAAAAAAAAAAAAAAAAAAAAAAAAAAAAGCCAGAAAATAAAAGAATTCAAAGGTTGGTTTCATACGCTAATAATCAACGTGCCCCCTTCAATCGTGAGAGGATATATTAAGCTCCTATGTGTATCCTGTTCCCACTCCTCATTCTCAATTTTGATACACTTTCATTTCCTTCACTCCTCCCGACGACTCTTCATTCCTCACTTCACGGTATCCTTTAACAGGTTATTGAATACCTTTTCCAAAGGGGGACGGGGTTTGGCATTTAGCATTTTACTTGGCTTCGTCTGGAAACCACCCAGCTAGCCCAGCTATCTGTTCTCTTTGATCATTTAAAACCGAGTTTTTGGTCATAGATGTAGGGAACCGTTGATGGCCGGATATGGAGCAGGGCGGAGTCTGTGTTTTTCTCTTCCTTTCTTTTGCCATTTATATTCCTCTTGTGCCTTGTCTGTTTTCAAGTCTTAGGTTTTTTTTATTTTTTATTTTTTATTTTTATTTTTATTTTTTTTTTTTTTTTGGGGGGGGGGGGGGGGGGGGGGGAAAGAAAAGTTCCTATCTGTTGTTTTTGTTGTGCACAGTGTATGTGCATATGTTTATGTGTTCTTTTTTTATCCCTTGTTATGTATGTACATATATCAATTTACTACGTGCACTGTTTGCTAATATTTATTTATTTATTTTTCCATTTTAACATCTGGCAGATCAACTCACTTCGTTTTATCAGGCTCCTTGTGTTCTCCATATTTTCTTGCTATTTGTTGGTATTGACCATGGAGCATTGACAAATGATCTGATTGGGGGTTTACCAGAGGGCAGAGCACGGCCATATCGAATAATTAGTTATTTAAGTTAGGGTAAAACATAATGGTTATTATAGGATGGATACCTACCTACCAGGTAGTTGGGGGAGTGCATCTAAAAAAAAGCTACTCTGCTTTCTACTTCACATCCGATTTATTCAGTATTCTAATACAACAATTGAAGACGACTACGTATATTTGAAACATAAATGCATGATGCAATGGTTTCCCTCTTGGACTTGTGTTCCCGGGGGACTGCGAGATCATGGTTAGGAAGTTCACCATAGTCATGCAGATAATTGGCTGGGTGTTGAGGCGGCTGGTCTTGAAGTGTAATTGATTTGAGTATTATTCCCTGACACTGGGTTGTGGTAAGAACCATAGACAGCCGTCATGCAGGTCTAGGCTGGCAACATTTGCTTTTCAGAGACACACTGCTCGGAACTTGCTCATTGTACAGATTGAATGTCCTCGAAGCTCGAAATAGACATCGCATACCCTAGCACATATATCGAATGTTTGTTGCTAGCTACCAGGTAGTTAAGTCGCAATTTCCCCCTCATCATAAATTGCAGGAAACATTTCATATCTAAAGGCATAGCAGGTGGGTAAGTGTTTTTCATCCCGGTTTTCGAGATTCATATCAGATGCGGATTAAGTAAATTCTCTCCTTCGCTGGTTCTCTATTATGAGGGACCAGTAAGACGGCTTAAGGATTAGATTTGGGGAAAATAGACAAAACAAAGAAAACCCAAGCGTCAGGCTGATTTTGACACAGATACTAGAAGTCCTAGACGGTGCTCAGTGTTGGTCGCAGGGGTCACGTTACAAAAGAGAAGAGAAGAGAAGAGAAAAAAAAAGTAGAGTATCTCTGATAAATAGATAATGTGGGAAGACAGTTAGTTTGCATTTCACAAGACACAGCTAAGACATAGTTACGAATGGTTGAGCATACCAATTTAGAATGTATCCCCTTTCCTCCACAATTCTATTGACCTCGACAACTTCCATCTTAGGGAATAGGCAGCGAAAATGAATGCCGACCTACCCCAAACTCGACGGGTGGAGTGTATGATAAACTGGTTTCCTATTCCTGTGTAATACGCTTATAGTAAACGATTATTCTGCATTTCCGCTCCATCTGACGGAGTAACTAGGTGAGAAGGTCGGCAACTGTTACATAAAATCATTAGTCATAGGAACAAACACAGCGACGGAATAGAGAAGTAAAATGCCGTACCATTCATGGGCATCTCGTCGATCTGCGTAGAGTAATATAACTCGATATCTCTCAAGATTCTAACATCCTCGCTCGTCACGAAGTTGATAGCAACACCTTTGCGTCCGAAGCGGCCACTTCGTCCGATTCTGTGGATATAGTTCTCACGATTGCTAGGGAGGTCGTAATTGATGACCAGAGAAACCTGCTGCACATCGATACCTCGAGCCCAGACATCGGTTGAGATAAGAACGCGAGAGTTTCCTTGTCGGAAATCCTGCATAATGCTGTCGCGCTCCTTTTGTGGCATTTCTCCGTGCATGCTGGAAACGGTGAAGTTGGCTTCACGCATCTTATCAGTGAGCCAGTCTACCTTGCGTCGAGTATTGCAGAAAATAACGGCCTGGGTAATGGTAAGGGTGTCGTAAAGATCGCAGAGAGTATCAAATTTCCATTCCTCTTTCTCTACAGCAATAAAGTACTGTTTTAAACCTTCCAGGGTCAATTCGTCACGTTTGACCAGAATGCGAACTGGATCTGTCATGAATTTTGTAGTCATGTCGAGAACATCGTAGGGAAGAGTGGCAGATACGACGACAACCTGAGTGGCAGGAGGAAGGTAGCGGTAGACATCATAGATCTGTTCACGGAATCCACGGTTCAAAAGTTCATCGGCTTCATCGAGGACGAGCATTTTGATATTTCGGGTTCGAAGATGGCGACGACGGATCATATCAGCAACACGACCGGGGGTGCCAGAAACAACATGCTGGCCATGGTCGAGCTTCCGAATATCTTCACCAACGTTGGTGCCCCCGATACAAGCGTGACATTGTACGTTCATGTAGTCCCCAAGAGCCATAACAACGGACTGAATTTGGGTGGCAAGTTCGCGCGTGGGCGATAGGACAAGAGCTACAAGAAACATATCAGAAACTGATAGAAGAATAAGGTGAAGTCAAACTGACCTTGTGTTTCTCGGAGAACTGTGTCAATAACTTGCAGAATACTGATTGAAAATGTCGCGGTTTTACCAGTACCAGATTGGGCTTGTGCAATTGTATCACGCCCCTTGCAAATTTGGACGATTGCGCGGGATTGGACAGCAGACGGCGATTCATATCCGTATGCATAGATGCCGCGCAGGAGGTTTTCCTTCAAGTGCATATCCTCAAAGGTGGGCGCGACAGTCACCTCTTTCGAGGTCGTGAACTCCATCCGCTCTATGTAAGGATTAGAGACTAGTAGAGAAGAAACAGCTTGGATAGAAACACGTACCCTCTGCTGTCCTATCGATTCCTTCCGCCATGGTAAACAGTCAGATATCCCGAGTTAGGTCAGTAAACAGGAGGTATATGCAGGAATAATATTGCGCTTCGCTGCCGTGTTGTTTGTTGTGCTGGCAACTGAATGAATCTTGAAGCTTTTTTAACGACCAAAAGTCAAAGATGTTAAAAGGCGCTGGCGAGTTGTTTGCCTTGTTTGATTTGCCACGTGACACTTCTCAGTCCATTTCCCAGATGTCAAACTGCAACAACTGGATACAGTGGATAGTGATAACTTTTGCGGGGGATCAACGAATTCTTCAGCTCAAGGCAACGATCTAGGAATAGCAGAAGAGTTGCAAACATGCTGACTGAGGACCAGCGGTTCATCCACGAAGATTTGGAGAGACTTGAGCAGGGAATCAGTGATCGCGTCTCAGATGAACCTCGAAATGTGCGCCAATACCCCCCTCCTTTGCTATATTGTGATGTTTCGTCTAACAGGTTGTCTGCAGATTCGAGACCGGTTAAACCGAGATCATCAAATTTCAGGCTTCCTTAACCGTATCCAACAACAATCGGAAAGGCTATTGGATATCTACAAAGATGTGGAAGGTCTGCGAGCGAAGGAAGTACAGGCTATATCGACTGGAGAACCCTTCGATGAATTTTACAAACGATTAGACGAAATTAAAGATTTCCATCGACGATACCCTAATGAACCTGTTGAGAACCTTGAGCGAGCATATAAGAGACGACACCCCGGTGAAAATGAGGGATTCGGAATGGAAGTGGAGAATATGTTCTCCGGAGAAGAATCGTATGGCCAGTTTTTCGACCTCACGAAGATCCATGAAGACTACCTGAATTTGCCTGGGGTGAAGAGACTCACATACCTACAATACCTTGACCTATTCGACGTGTTCACGCAGCCCCAACTACCCATCAAACGGAGCAACAAACTTACCGATAAGTATTTCCAGTATGTCGGAGATCTTGCCTCGTACTTAGAGAGTTTTATCAAACGGGTTAAACCTTTGGAACCTCTCGACAAACTTTTCAACGGCTACGACGGAGAGTTCGAAAAGCTATGGCGAGAAAACAAAGTTCCTGGGTGGGAAGAAGAAACCACAGCAGAAACCACCTCCGGTCCCAAGACTGAAGGAACTGGTGAGGGAATTTGGTGTCCAGATTGCGAGAGAGAATTCAAAAACCAGAATGTCTACAAGAATCATCTCACCGGGAAAAAACACATTCGCGCTGCGAAGGCCCGTAAAGCCAATGAGTCCTCCAACTCTTCCACGACCCATCCAAATGGTGACACTGGTGGCGTTGTCGCCGCGGGCCGTCGCCTGAAGGAGCGTGCAATTGCTGAAAGAGAACACCGTGTACGATCGCTGGCCGCAACTCTAAAAGAAGAAAGACAAGCTACACGGGTTAATGTGGAACGGAAACAAGGAATGACAGAGAGAGAGCGGCAGATGGAGCTTGATGCTCTCTTTGCAGAGAGTGCAGAACCACCGGAAATACGGCATGGGGATTCAGATTCTGATAGTGACAGCGAGGAGAAAATTTACAATCCCCTCAAGCTGCCGCTTGCATGGGACGGCAAACCTATCCCATACTGGCTCTACAAGCTGCACGGTTTGGGGGTGGAACTGCCCTGTGAAATATGCGGCAACTTCGTCTACATGGGACGACGTGCATTTGACAAGCACTTTTCGGAAGCTAGACATATCTACGGGCTACGATGTCTTGGAATTACACAGCAGACTAGCTTGTTCCGAGAGATCACCAAGATCGAGGAAGCGTTGAGACTCTGGGAGAAACTAGAACAGGATCGGAAAAAGGAGAAGGAGTCCAGAGAAAATGTGGTACAGATGGAAGATGCCGAAGGCAATGTGATGCCAGAACGAATATATCTTGAGTATGTTCTTTTTTTCCGTTTGCTCCTCCTCACTGAATTAACTAGGATGGTATACTAACGGTGTTAAAACAGTCTCCAGAAGCAAGGCATCTTGTAGATAGCGTCCTTTAAATAGTGATATTTCTCGTTCGTGTATTTTTTTTATTTAACCGTTATCGGCGATCGGAGCTTTCGGCACACCATTGAGTACGTCCGGGCGTTTGGAATAGATATCCTACCTATATTATGGGAAGAGTCTACTACGTTGACTATTTAACTTCTCTGGAGTGCAGCAAGGAATATATAAACTACTGGCTATTAAATACTTTGATAATACATCCATCAAGTTCTTTGGCTGCTGTCAGCGTTTAGTCATGTGATCTGGCGATACTTTCGTGACGGCAAAAAAATCCACTCCGTAACCTCCATGGATTGACTCCATTGTTGCATCAAAACCCTGGTTGTCTCTAGCTTCATCTTTCTACCTAGTACTGCTAGTTGCTCCGGTAGCCTATATATATATCTGATGCCGTTATCTCCGTTATCTCGATAACTGGATTGCTGATCTCACTGTATTTAGGGCGTATCTCTGGACAGTCAGCGTGACGTTTCCCATTGGCCCATTGTGGTGATCTCCGGTATGACAATTAGGGCATCACATTTGCCATTAGTGAGATGTTATGGGATTTAAGTTTTCCTATGTGTGCGATCTCTTTTCGAACCTCGAGGCCAACCTTACCTTGAAGGTGTCAACCGCATCTATAAAGAGAAACCCAGATCTTGCAACCATTGAGAGCTGGTTTAGTCACTATGCGAAGCAAATCCATGACGGAAAGACGGATCGTCTTGCTCTTCTATCATGTTTGTTTCCGGAAAGGCGCCCGGAGAGAGTATTTGGTTTAAAGGAGCCGTCGCTCGTCAAGGTTATTGGTCGATGTCTTCTTCTTGGGGTGACAAAGAGACAGGAACTAGATTCGTATAGGACGTGCGGGAATGGGGATCTGGGGAATTGTGTGGAAAGGGTGATGAAACAAGCGGAGGATGACATCCATGAGGAGTCTGGAGTAACTGTTGAAGAAATCGACAATGTCTTAAATCAGATCGCATCTAGATGTCGGTTCTCCGGCCCAGATTTGAGGCGACAGCGAACAGCTGCAAACGTGGATGAAGCGCTTTCGCCAGTTTTCCGGCGGCTTACTAGCCGTGAGGCCAAGTGGTTTACAAGAATCATTTTGAAGGATATCAGCCCCGTAACCTTGCCGGCTCCTTTTGTCTTGAGAAATTTTCAATTTCATCTTCCGGATCTGCTTCTAGTGCAGGATTCTTTTGGGGCTGCGCTAGATTTACTGAGCTGTGACCCTATGAGACGATTCCCTCCTCGCCCAGATCCCCAATATGCTAAGCTTCTGGTTTCTTTTGCGGCATCTCATATACCCCTTACCGTTGGAATAAAGGTTGGAAGGCCAATTTTTTACAAAGCCAGAGGGGTTAAACATTGTTGCAAGATGGCAGGAAAACGCACAATGAGCGTGGAACGCAAATATGATGGAGAGTATTGCCAGATACATATTAATCTTGCCAAACGACCGAACTGCATACAAATTTTCTCAAAAAGTGGCAGAGACTCAACTGCGGACAGGAGCGGTGTTCATTCCACTCTAAAGGAATGCCTAAGGATCGGAAAGTCCGGCAGCAAAATTTCCCGGAACTGCATTTTAGAGGGAGAACTTCTCGTCTGGAGTGATGTGAAATCGAAACTACTGCCGTTTCATAAACTTCGAAAACACGTTGCTAGATCTGGCTCCTTCATTGGGGCAAAGAACGATTCCCAGTAGGTACAAAATTAAGTTAAGAACTGTGCTTCTTCATCTCAGCTAACATAGAGCAGACCGCATCCCTACGAACACCTCTATATAATGTTTTTTGATATATTGTTGATTAATGATGACGTTTGTTTACCGAAATCGTATCGAGAACGCAGGGTGCTACTAAAAGAAATTGTAAACCCTGTCAAAGGGCGTGCTGTGATCGTGGAGCAGGAATATATCGATTTTTCCTTGCCAAATACTGAGGAGGTTTTAAAGGCGCATTTCTCCAGAGCTATTTCGCAGTGCTGGGAGGGGCTTGTTTTAAAAGGCAGTGAAGAGCCGTACTTTGCTATCGACCAAAATGAAGATCCTAACATCGGACACTGGATTAAATTAAAGAAGGATTATATAACAGGGCTCGGTGATACCGCAGATTTCGCTATAGTCGGGGCCAGGTACGATGCTCGCGAGGCGACGAAACTAGTGGAGGTAAAAGGCCTCACGTGGACTTCGTTCTTTGTAGGATGCAGAGAAAAGAATGGCAGATTCTTCTACAATTCGGAACCGGTATTCCGTATAGTAGATGTTGTCAGCCGAAACAACATGAACATTCAACTCATACGAACGCTAAATCAATTCGGCCAGTTTTGCAGTTGCGTTTTGGATGATGAGGACCTTCCACTTTCCATCAGAAGCGATCAAATACAACTGCCTGAACCACAGGTTCTTTTCAAAACCCCGTTTGTGGTTGAGATGCTAGGAGGTGGTTTTAAGAGACGTCCAGGTGTAAACTATTTCACATTACGATTTCCCCGGGTTCTGAAGATACATAACGACCGGGATGTTGAGGACGCTACAACCTTAGAGGAGCTGCAAATGTTGGCAAAAGAGGCCAGCTCAGTCCCGACGGATGAACTATCGCAGGAGCGCGTCCGGTGGGAGGAAAAGCTAGAAGCTGCAGATGGCAACCCTGGATATATCATGGATGCGTTAGAGCAATCGTCCATGTCTGTGGCCTCAGGAGTCTCACCAACGGAAGTATACAATCAATCTCCCAATGAACACAGAGACCCATTGTCTACAATTGAACAGGATATTTTACCTGAATTACCACATAGTACAGAGATAGCTCCCTCAACGCCAACACTTTCCTCACCAAAACCAACAGAAATTAGTATTCGCCAAAGGGGTCCGAAAGATGCAAGCCAGAAACGATTTAAAAGATTGAGATCACAATCACCTTGCATCACAATACGTGCAGATAATACGCATACAATGACGAACACCAGCATTTCAAATTCACAGGATGATCAGATGAGTCGCCATTTGGCGAATCTCACCAACCTATCCCAATCCAATACAAATCAAACCAACCACCGTTCCTCTGATAGTCAGAGCGTAATAGATTTGACAACAATCCCCAACAGTCAAGTAGAATGTATGGCAACCCCTGGACAGTGTACAGAAGTCGAATCACAGGGTTCACTTGAACCAGGCCAGCAAGCTCCAAGCCAATCATGTAGCCAGGATCAACTACCCTCTAAAGTCAATGTTGGCTTCAAACGGAGAAAGTTATCAGCACAGGCATCTGTCAGTTTAGACAGCATAATCAGGTCTACCAACCTCTCTCTCAGACCCCCAGCTTTCCTATCTGAAACACCCATCCTGAGAGGAACTGGAGTATCTCATAATGGTATTCACCTCATTTTCCATAGTGCAAATCAACACCTCACATCCTCTTTCGCCGATTTCCTCGACAGCGTCCTAGATACAAAATCCCCCAGCAATCCCATTGGTCACTTCCCTCAAATTAAGCTTCCCCGCGAGCCTTCCTGCTGACACGGCATTGTCCTCGTCCAGCCCAATGCTCTTGACGCAACGCAGATAGCTTCGGACATTGCGCAAATCGGCAATTTGCTTGCCGCCAAACAACGTGTTGGAACACTTCCAGTTCAAAGAGGGAAAATATTATTCCTCCACTGGAAAGCATTTTTCGAGCACGGCCTAATTGAAAATAGTAAAGTGAAGCAGTTCGAGGGAATTCGAGAACAGTGGGAGAAGGTTGGGGAAAAGGCTTTTGCTGGGTGCTTGAAGTGGGGATACGGTATGACCTCTCTTCGACGGAAGCGGAAACAGAGAATTTTCGATCATGAAGTTGATGGGAAAGCTGGGGAGAATGGCCCCTTGGGTGTAGTGTCTTCTTCCCCCCCGCCCACGGATGTGGATGTTCAGTTAAGCTTCTATTGGAGGGAGATATAGTCGTTGCTTTTGGTTTAAAAGTTTCTATGGTTTACGACTGAGTTGTCTTTCTCATTTCTAAATCACGAGGGAACAGGCTCGATGCGCAGTTGTGCACGATTATACCGGTAATATTATATATCATTTAATGATTCGTTCAAGTTTATGGCAAATGGGGTGGTTGCCAATGCATAATTGGCAATTTAGAAGTGGTGCACGACCAGAACTAGAGCCGAGTAAATGGCATTCATTTATTTGAATCGAGGAACCCGCTAACCAGCTTGTCACCGCACCATGGTATTTGCAGAAACAAGTCCATATCACCTACGTTTCCGTGCAATAAAACATAAGTAATACACAAATATTAAGGTATAAACCCGATTGCGAACTTTCGCATCCATCGCCAACTGGCAACAGCGTGTACGGACAAAGAGTTAGTTGCCAGTCCATCAAACCCCCCCTCCTTCCCTCCTCGCCCTAACATCCCGCATCAGTGCCTTCGCCTCTTCGACTTCAATGCCATCCTGACAAAGCTCCCCAGACAACAAATCAGCTCTGTTTAAATCACCATGCTTCAGCGCCCAACGCGCCAGCCACAAGCGCGCCTTGCTCGTTGAAGCTGTGACTCCCGTGCCAATTGTTTCCTCTTCAGCCTCTTCACCGATTTTCTGTGTGAATGACGACGTGCGTTGGGGATAAAGGCCCTCGAGATCTAATTCCAATTCATCGTTATCATCAGCTTCACCATCATGAGCACCTGTCTGCCCCGTTTCTTGCTGGAGAGTAAGCTCCATGTAGGCGGCTGCTTCCTCTTCGTCGCCAAGGCGTTCGTAAAGCGTGGCGATTTGATGAAGTGTATCCGGATCAAGGATGCGTTTCGTGACCGGCGCATTGGCGCCATGTGCCTGGTGTGAAAATTGCCGTAAGCTTCCTGAGCCAACACTGCTAAATGAACCCGGCGCGCCTGCAGAACCTACTTCGAAATAAGATCCCGCAACCAGAGCGCGCTTGAAGGCTCGAATGCTCTGCTCAGGACGACCCATTTTGGCATAACATGAAGCGACAGCTTGCCACATTTTGGGATCATAGGGGCGAAGAGCAGCAGCTCGATGATAGTAGAACAAGGCATAGAATGCCATGTCGAGGACCTCGTAGGCTTGCCCGAGGCCGTACCAGGCGCGATAATCCTTTCGGTTAACATCGACAGCTCGTCGATATGATTCAATAGCGGCATGGGTGTTTTTCATTTCGATGTATTCGTGACCCATAAGGGTCCAGGCGGATAGAAAGTTGCGGTCCAACGTCAGGGCACGCCTGAAATACATGACTGCTTTTTCGTGTTCAGATTTGAGAGAGTAATAATTACCTACTACGCAGCAGGTTTCCGGACGGAATTTATCAGTAGCCGTTGCTATTTGGGCTATGAAAGCAAGTTGAGGGCGGGCACCCATGACATAGAGGATGTTGGAGTAGTGGTCGAGGCTATCAAGGCGGTAAGGAGAAGTGATGAGGAGTTCAGAGAAATGGTGAGATGCTTCCTCGAAATCTGTTGGAAGGGAGAAGATAGGTTAAACATCAAAAGAGAGAAAAGGATTTGAGGGATGAAGAACCTTTTGAATGATAAAACAACAGAGCTCTTTGAGTCTTAAGAAATGCGCTAGTTGGAAATATGCTCTCGAGCTCGGTCAGCATATGGTGTGTATCTTCTGTAGTCTGGTAAAGTTCCTGGCTGCAGTGCAGATGAAATATAAGCGTCATTATGTTTTGGGGAAGTTGGTCAGAGATCCGTTTTAGCTGTAGTAGAACTTCATGTTAGCATAGTGACGTAGCGGAGCATAGCGGGAAAAGGAGGCAATGGGCGTACCTCATCTGTGTTGGCGAGGAGGTCGTTTAACTCCTGCCAAGCACCCCAGTGAAAAGGATATAAATGCACACTTTTAATGAGCCACATTTTGGCTTCTTCCTCGTTTTTGCCTTTCAGCAAGATAACCCCATATAGATATTCCAGCCAGCCTTGTCCCCGATCCTCCAAGCCCTTTGCTTTCCGGTGGGTAAACCATGCCTCTAAGCCCTGTGCCAAACCAGAAAGCTCTCTATTTACGGTCATGCCTCCGTCTGCAGGACCCAAAACCATTTCCGTTCCCTCATCTTTCCGCTTCTCGCCTGCTAGATACTTAGCATAGAGAGCGAGGAAAAGGGACTTTTGGCTTAATCGCGGGAAACTATTCTGAGAGGCAGCGTTGGCACTCAATCCGCCAAAGGAAGAGGCTCTTCCCTTCCCTTTTTGAGGGCTGACTGGCGTCTTGGACTTTACATTAGCGGAGGTGGGGGCCAGCGGTATGGCGGAGGTGGAGGGAGGTAGGAACACGGCGGAACACCGGTCATACTCCCTAGTGTCGAAGTATGATTTGGCAAGAATATATTTGTGAGCTTCACGAGCTTCTAAAGCAGCTTCTTCAGGGTCTTGCGTTTGCAGTAAAGGGTTGGGCGGCAGGGGGGGGGTGGTATCCATCGGAGAATCCAGGTCAGTATCTGCACTGCCATCGATATTTCCAAGTGGAACTAAGGAGTCCAGCATTTCTGCAGCCCTGGGTAAGGTAATGCAATGTGTCAGCAGGCGCGATTCCGGTCGTAGCCAGAGTAAAAGCATCTCGCATACCATTTTGCAGACTGGTAAAGACACCGTTCGGAGCATTTAATGGCCGCATCTTCAAGGCGGTACCGGAGTTCCCGCAGGTTGTCTCGATTTAAATTGGAGGCCATTGCAGAGTCGCGCTGCGCCAGTAATCATAGATTCCAACACACAAATTTCTCCATCGGTATTGTATGGTGATTTATGGTGATGACAGCATATACCGCGACTGTCCTGTTTTGCTGGACGCGACAAGGCGCAAATGGGTGTTGGGTTGTTTTTTTTTTCTCCTTCTCGGGACTGAAGAAAGGTCAGAACACATCCATAAGCGTTCCACCATCCCATTCGTAAATTAGCCCGATTGCGAAAAATCCCCCTCCCTAATCAATCGCCCGGGCATCTGAGAATGTCCTTCCGGTCATATGTTGTTGTTGATGATGTTATGGCTGTCTGTCTAACCCGTCGAGATATTGGGGATAGGTCCGCGTCACGTGCCCAATATGCAGAGTAACTAGTTAATTAGTGCAAACAATGCAATCAGTGCAAACAAGCACCGAAGATTGACCGTTGGACTCGGCCAAATTTTAATAAACTTCTGTCGCAGGAACAAGGAGAAATCCAAATCGCCCCGCAACGGCTTTAAATGCCAGCCGTTGACCATCTAAGCTAGACTTCTTGTTCTTTCTTCTGTTTCGCAGTCGCCATACGATACGCATTCGACGGAGAAAATATATAGTTTAATCACTCACAGCATTCCAATGGCGTCTCGAACTGCTCGTGCAGACTTCGAGGCGATTTTCCCGTTGCTGGTCCAGGACCTCAGCGACAATGTGAATCAATACGGGATACCTTCAAATGCCCTTAAATGGTTCCAAACCGTTCGTACTTTCTCTTTCTCCTGTTTTATTAACCAATCTGTCCCCTCCCCATTAACTATGGTTTGCCAAATCAGTCCCTGAACGCAAATACCCCTGGCGGAAAACTAAATCGCGGACTTTCTGTCCCTGATACTGGTCTCGCGCTGCTCGGAAAGCTTAGCGATGAACAATTCAAGCATCTCTGCACCCTGGGCTGGCTAACAGAGCTCCTTCAAGCCTTCTTCCTTGTTTCCGACGACATGATGGACGGCTCCCACACCCGTCGCGGCAAGCCATGCTGGCATCGCCGTCCAGGCGTTAACCTGATCGCCATCAACGACTCCTTCATGCTTGAATCCAGCATCTACGTTATCCTCAAGAAGCACTTCCGTTTCCACCCAGCATACGTCGACTTCCTGGAGCTATTTCACGAGGTCAGTTTCCAGACTGAGCTGGGCCAGCTCTGCGATCTTCTCACCGCTCCAGAAGACAATGTCAACCTGGACAACTTCAATATGGACAAGTTCAACTTCATCGTCATCTACAAGACCGCATACTATAGCTTCTACCTCCCAGTTGCTCTTGCTCTTCACTATCTCCAGCTCGCAACGCCAGGCAACTTGCGCCAGGCGCATGACATCCTTATCCCGCTTGGCCAGTACTTTCAGGCACAGGACGACTACCTGGACGTGTTCGGCAAGCCAGAGCAGATTGGCAAAGTTGGCACTGATATTCAGGATAACAAGTGCTCGTGGGTGATCAACCAGGCTCTGAAGCGGTGTTCCCCGGAACAGCGCAAGGTGCTTGATGAATCGTATGGCCGCAAGGACGCCACCCTGGAGGCGAAGGCAAAAGCTGTTTTCAACGAGCTTGATTTGGAGAAAGTCTATCGTGACTTTGAGGAGGATCAGGTTAGGAAGATCCGAGGTATGATCGAGGGGCTTGACGAATCGGAAGGCTTGAAGAAGGGAGTCTTCGAATCGTTTCTGGCTAAGATCTATAAGCGCGACAAATAGATGACTGGTTTCAGTTAAATGCTCTTTGTATTATTTCTTTCACAATTCCCAGTCCGTATTTTGACTTTCTATTATTGTGAAGACATTGTCCATTTCAACAAAGGGGAGGGGAAACAAACCAAGGTTCAAAGACTAACCTAGTTCCCTCCCTGGTCTTTTCATACCTCTTTTGACATTTTGATGATACTCAAATAATAGTTGCTTTAGTGTCCCAAATGTATGTCTGTACTGTACATGCATCCATTCATCAGCTTTGTTAGTTGTGGGGTTTCAAATAATACATTAGCCTACCCTTTGATGGCGTTTTATGCACACTGATGAGAAAAACGATAGTTAACTAAGTAAGGCTTGGTTGAGCTATCTAATAGAACGATATTGCCTTTTATCAGCATGGATGAAGTGCTCTGATAAAACTAAGTCAAGTTCAAAAAAGCACAATACTGCTTCAACATTCTTCAGCTTCAGCAGTCAAATAATAGATACAAACACAAAATGTAATTTAAACCTCAGAAATAAAATGAAAAATAAATGAAGAAAATTTCCGCCTCTCAACACAACACAACCCATGTGAGCTAGTGCGATGGTGCTGCGTGTCTGTGGTAGGTCACTACTTGTTTCCTGAAACAAGATCATCCCAACCTGATAACTCGCTCAGAAACAGCTACCTATTTACGAGGAGGGTTACTTCGTATCGGCCTAGAAACGGCCTGAGTGTGTAGCTACCTAGGTGCCGACGCTGTGAAAGCGTAAGCTGACAACCAAATAGCTACTGGTATCATTATCAATCTGGTTCTACTGTCTAAGCCGTCTGGTAGTTACAACAGGCGGGCGAGCAAGATATGCTGCAATCAACGGGAGTGGAACGGGCAGAGCCGGGCAGACAGATTTGGTTTCCCATTTCAAACTCCTGGAACAGACAACTTTGCCCAAGGCAGACGTGAAGTCCATTCTTGTTTGCATTTGTGGGTTGGGGATCCGTTGAACTAATGCAGGAACAGTGTGACAGTCGTATCACTATTGTGAAACTTCAGGCCTAGATGGAGATCAAGGAAGATGCAACATTTCTCAGATAAGGGGGTTTTTCCGGGTGTTTAACTAACATATTCACTTTCTACCTCCTGAATCGAGGATGATTTTCTGAGAGAGCTATTGGCAAATAACTAATGTATCTCACAGATCAACCAACTCGATTTTCCTTACAGATTGAAGGCATTTAATTATTAGTATCTCAGCAACCATACCATGTTAAAGAAATAATATATGTAATTTAAAGTTCTAATATAGTTAATATAGTATATAAAAGGTTTCATTAAAAAATATTCATTACATGTTATATAATGTATTACATGATAATTTTCTCAATAAATTCCACATATAAATTAATATATATTTAAAAAGAATAACAGGAAATTAAAAAAGTTATTTAGAACTAAGTTTTTCTTTTTATAAAGATAATAATAATAGTTATGAATAAAAATTTTACATACTATATTAGATATACGCAAATTATTAGTTACTAAAAATATTATATATACTGTATTTTGAAGATATATTTATTGGAAAATAGCAAGTAGTATGAAAACAAGAGTGTTGTGCAGTAGAGTTTAATAAACTATAATCTACATTATGCTCATATGTAGTTAGTATAAAAACAGAATTGTATGAGGCAGTCTTGATAGAGTAGAAAACATTTTACTTACATGAGCGGCAAAGAATTGACTATCTATAGTAGTTTCCATGTTGGTAAAATACATGCCAATTCAACTCCCAGATCTATCATTGAGAAAGAAACATTCCGAGGATGTTCGATACTCACGATTTGAGATGTGATGCGAATGCAGAGGGAACAACGACGGAACCGCGTTCAGGGAGAAAGTGGATCAGAATGAGACATGGATACAGTCGGGGAGGGGGGGGGGAAACCACACTTGGGGAATGGGATTTAGGAATGGGGATTTTGGCGTCATGTTGACAAATGTTCTAGAAGCATTGGAGTGGGGAGATAATGACGATTCTGACGATGTTGCTTTGCTGGATTGGATTGTGGGCAGAGAAAAAGTTCAGCACTCGGACGATATGTTACGGCAGGATTTACCACTTGACGCACAGGAAAACATTTACTGGACGGGAAGCATGGACAAATGGCAACAACAATAAACAATTGTTTACTTTTTGAATGGTCATTTCCTCAACTCGTACAAATAACTAATAATCAACGGAGGTGAGGTCTCGGCACAACAACGGGTCTTTCTGTGAGAATTCTGAAGTTCAGAACAATGGTGGGTATTTTTATAGAGGATAGCCAAAACCTCAACTGTTTTGTGTTTCAATCTATGAAATATCTCGAGTGATACCGAGAGCCGTGCGCGCGTGGGGCTGGATGCGTCTAAGCGCGAAGCGCTATTTTAGTGGTCGCTGTCAAAATTTTAATTTAGAGGTTATACCCGACATCAATCGACGCATAAGACAATATTGTTCGTAGATTTTTATTGGTAAAAATATCTTGCCAAATGCTTTTGGAGAAATTATCCACTGATACTAATAATAAAGGACACAGTGGCCTTCGCTTATCATGCGCCCTGAATAGGTAGATACAGTTCATTACTTTTCCAAACAAAGTATCCCCAAGAAAAGAAATAACAACCAGATAAAGATAGCTTGCATATTTCACAGGCAAAGTTTCGAAATTATTATTAGCCCGCTATTAACGAGGCAAAACCGCCCGTAAATTCCATGGATATTGCAAATCAAGCAGGTTAGCTCCGAACGCATAAAACTTTTCACCTTGACCCCTGTTCCAGCTGCGGGACGAATAATACAAATAACAAAGCAACTCAACGAAAAATTTTAGTCCTACCTCTCATACACCCTTGGTATTATGTTGATTGCACAAGGCATGTAAATTTTCCGACCCCCCAACCCGGCGAAGCGGGGGTAATTCTTCACTCAACCCATCAATCCAGGCGGCTGTACGGAAATGTTTATCCGACTGCCACTTGGTCGACGAAGATGTAGGTCCCATAGTATCAAATTTGATGTGACACACACAGCCGATGCGCTGGCCATATGGTGGTGAGCTCTGCGGTTGCGTGGAGCGTTTGGAGGAACGCGTCAGTTGGTGCAAGTCGGTCGGTCCAGGGTTGACTGTGGAGACTGCTGAACAGCCGGCGTGAGTGGTGGGAATGGAATGCTTGGGTGACGCTCTGGTAGGTCTGCAACGGTTTCCTAAAAACCTAGCAGGGTGGAGTGAGGACTGTTTGGCTGAGTTCATTCCTTTAGCGGTAGATTTAGGAAATGCGGGACGAGGAAAAATGGCACCTGACGGCTGATTGATGGAGATCCGTCCTCGTAGCTTGCGAGCGATGCGAAAGGAAGGTAAGCGAAATGCACTACGGCGAGGCCACGAAACGCGCCGTGAGATCTGTCGATTCTGTGGTCTACACAAGGTATAGACTTTATGGCCCTTTGAACGGTCCAAACGGGCCAAAGCCCGGCAGAAGCGCTTTAGTTTGGAAGATACGCTCTCTCTCTGTGGGAGTGCGAGCGATGTAGTGGAGACAGTAGAAAACTCAGCTGATTTAATGTAGACATCGGGCGAGTAAGCTGACTTGTAATATTCTGGTTCAGGGGACTGAAGGCGTTCATATCCCTTCCCACGGAAGAGCGATTTCCATGAGGATCTATTTATCCAATCAGAAAACCGATGCTTTCCCTTGATATTCGAGAATACTCTCATAATGACGTTAGGTTATGGCAAAGAAAAGTTCGTACCACACGGGTGTGTGAAATGGCACTGGATTCTTTCCAAAGAATGAGAAGAGAGCTTCGCAGATAGAAAGTCTGAAGCTACACCAGAAGAAGAGGGGGAAATGTTAGCGGGAGCATAGGATATTTATGTATCACAGAAAAAAAGAGGAGTTTTATGTTTTCGAGCCTAGAATCGATAACAATGCCATAAACAAGAAGACAAGAAGGCCTTATTTGATCTCCAATGGCCATGAACGAGGGTCAACCCGAATGACGACATAATGCCGTATAGAGCGGATTCCCCGGGCGTCTTCTAAACTTCAAAAGGAAGTGTATTAACTTCATCACAGAAGGGGGATGGTTTCCGATTGGTTGTCGTAGATTCAACGTTAAAGTTTGACGTACGGCTGTTGGAACGGTGAAAACCATTTCCGCGGTTTCTCTACCATTAAGGTTCCCATCTAAAGGGGGCAGATCTAAATAAAATCAAAATTAAGTTAGGAGGTAAACAGAACTGGAATCGATGCGCGTGTTAGCTATCTCATTGCCCGTAGTATGTGGCAGGGAAGGGTGCACGCCTCGACATTGAAACTCACGGCGAGTCCAGTGCTTTCATTTCAACCAAGATAAAAATTGGGAGCGTGCATTGTTTTCACGAGAATAATTAGGAGCAGGGTAGCACAATACTTTGAACGAGAAACAGACCAGACGTTCAGTTATCGAATGTCGGCGGAGGATGATGATGATGAATAGGGATAAGCCATTCGAAGTGGTTTGAGTGTGGGGTGTTGCTGTAGTGACGCCGACCGCACGTAGCCTCGTGGTCAAAACAATGCAGGGATGGCACGTGTCCTGACAGGGATTGGACACAAGCGCCATTTAAGCGCGCAAACACACATGCAAATTGGACCTAAAAATAGTCATTTGATGCTCCTGGAGTCTCTCTTTCGAATGAGATACAAATGAAGCAAGTTGAGAAGAGATAAAAGCCTAAAGTAAATCGGCGACGGGTACCCGGTGAATAAGACGCGTTTCAGCCAGTTCAGAGGTTATTCAATAGGTTCAAGCGAGGAGAAAAATCACAGTGAATCGACCGATATTTCCACCCTTAATTCCAGAAGAATTAGATCCAGAAACGATTGTTGAGCGGTGCTGCTGCTTGGGCTGGCCAAATGGAGTGAATGGGATCGAACGTGTGCCCTCGAATTCACAGAAGAAAGTATTAGATACAAAAGCTACTCCTACAAAGGGTACATGTGGATTATGTCGATGAGTTCTCGAGATCCCGGCCTCAAACCATAACCAAATTAAAGAGAAAGATTCAAAGAATATATTCGATTATTTGGGAGGCTGTAAAAGCTCGCAGTGGGGCCTGGAGGCCTCATTGCTACGAAACTCTGCCCCGAAGGGTTGGTTTCATCACCCACTGCTGGTACCTTTTCTTTGACACCTAAATGGGGTTCTCGTGGTGTGCTGCCGTGTGCATTGGAGGTAGTGGGTACCTGAAAGCCGGGCTTATGCCGTGTGCACGAGTTAACCATTAGGCCAGGCAGGGCAGGGAGCCTGTGGAGTGTACCCATTTAACCCCAAAAGCGGCTTATATACCCCCCAAAATAGAATAAATCACCTGCTATCTCGTGCACCACGACCTAAAGCAAGGCAAAAAATTTTGCTATTATGTTGTCCACACCCCCAAGGATATTAGTGTCATCAAAGGGAATGCAAAAGGTCGTAATCAGGTGTGTTCGGGGAGATTGCACCGAGAAACACCATGGAGCTCGAGTTCTTGTCACGTGCTAAGTAGCAGTCGCAAGTACATGTGTCTTCCACACACACACACACACCTCTTAGCGATCAAATCGTACAGCATACAATGCTGAAAAGGGGGGAACATTTCAATTCAACTGATGAAGTTGAGGGAAATGGCTAATGTAGCGGTAGAGAGCATGGCTACTACTGCAAACGAATGTGAAGGGTGAATATAAAATATTCGATGAAACCAGTGAATGTACTAACATGAAAATCAGTCGAAAGGTGTGTTTCTTTGGCCCTTGCAGCGAAGGATTGGAAAACACCTCTGGTCCAGCCACGCGTATGACAAAGCCGAGTCCATTTGCACGGGACAATGTCAATAGCGATTGTCGGACTCAAGACAGCTGAGAACAATGTTCTGCTCCTCTGGGGCATTTACGGGAGCGCTTTCAGTAGATTCTCTGCATTTGTTCCAGGCTTGGTTGCAATACAGTACAGTATGCGGAAAGACACAAACAGATGCTACTTCACAATGAAACCTTCGCCTGATGACTGTTGCGAGCCCTGAAGAAACACGTCGCTCCAAGGGCTGCAAAGGAAAAATAACCAACACATTAAACGGTGCCAACAACAAAAGCAGACCGGTAGAGCCAGAGGGTTGGATGAAGGGGGGAGAGAGAAAAGAGAAGCGAAAAGAAGCGAAGAGAAGCGAAGAGATGGGAACGTCGTCAAAGAGAAGATCGTTGGAAAATCCCACGCGATGATCGCATCCAGGTCGAGCAGTGCCAAGCGCAACTCTAGTTGGCTGGCAAGTTCCAAGGTTGCGGGCTGCTTGTTAATTGTTAAAAAAGTCGAGTTTAATACCTTGTCCATTCAGCCAACCCAAGGTTCGCATGGCAGACCCACCATCAACTTTCGACTGGGATGACCAAACGGACATCGTTGGAATTTAAACTTAGGTTCAACCAACACAGATCTATATTTTAGATTTCCATGGTTGGAAGTCAGAAACCGACAAAACATCTGGTCACGTCAAGGCATGGAGGGGATGTTTTCCTCCCCAGTAAAAGGTCGAGGCTATCATTCAGTTATCCATTTCGGTATGTTTCTACCCTCACGTCTGGATTCTTATTTCTTCCAGGATAACCGGCCCTAGGACAGGGAGGATTTACGGCCTGTTAAATGACTATTGTAGTAAACTCCATATAAAACATGTAAGACGGTATAAAATGAATGGTCACGTTTATTCCCCCCACATTCAAATCAGGTGGCAATTAACCTTACAAAATGCTGGTTCCAAAAAAAAAAAAAAAAAAAAATGTCAATTTACTAGCAAGCTAGTAAAATCAAGTGCTCTTATGCTTAAATTTTCTCGTGGAAAATCACTGGTGTCCTTGAAACACCTTACAAAAGTGGAGAGGTAATATGTAAATTCTATATTCAGAACTTGTTGGGAAGCAGATCACGGAAGTAGTTGGTTATCATTATGAGAGCTGCGTTTCTACGCGATGGTTAGTTATGTTATGGTTAGTTACCGTGCTGGAGAAAACGGACGGCCCGCAGGGAGGAACTCCGACAGAGTTTTCACTCTGCAAGTCAGTGGTCTGAGTGGAAGGTTTTCTTTTTCTCTTATTTTACATTCACGTTTAACTTGAATC